TGCAGTTTGGTAGATACAAAGTATTTAGGCATTTTCTGGACCACATCCGATGGTACTCAGGGAACACTCCTGGTTATGCTCAGGGGACCTTTGGGGTACCAGAGATCAAACCTGTGTGAGTCAAATGCCCTACCAGCTATACTCTTGTTCCAGCCCTGGAACGTATACAGTATTTGGGAAAGGTTTCTAGGAGGAGAAATCTTTAAAAACAAGCAAGATTTCCTGAGGAAAACTGAGGAACTGCTTCTGTCTTTTTATCTTCTAGGAATAAGATGTGTAAGAGGTCAGAGAGACGGTTCAAGAGGCTGGAGCACATGTTGCGCATTCAGGAGGCCCAGTTTCCAGCTCCAGCATTGCATGGCGCCTGGCCTGACCCCAAAGCACACAGCCAGGTGTGACCAAAACCCCTTTCTCTCTCACCTCCAAGGTGGGGATGGGGTGGGGGTGCGGGGAATGTACAGGCATCTAAGGAGAATGCAAGAGATAAACCTTAAGTGTCATTGTCACTGTCCTCCTGATGCTCTCGAGAGGGCCCAGTAACTTCTCCACTGGAGACTTTGTTGTTACTGTGTTTGGCATATCGAATACATCACGGGGAGCTTGCCAGGCCTTGCCGTGCCGGCGAGATACTCTCAGTAGCTTGCCGGGCTCTCCGAGAGGGGCGGAGGAATCGAACTCGGGTCGACCATGTTGGCTGCATGCAAGGCAAACGCCCTACCCGCTGTGCTATCGCTCCAGCCCCAAACCTTAAGTGGAATAAGATTATTTAATTCAGTAAAAAGGTCTTGAATGTCATAACTATAGGTTACAATTTTACAATTACAATTTTATCCTGTAAGTGATAAGGAATAAAATTCCTAATCTAAAGAGAATAAAAGACTAGATGAGGGGCTGGAGCGATAGCACAGCGGGTAGGGCATTTTCCTTGCACACAGCCAACATGGCCAACCCAGGTTCGATTCCCAGCATCCCATACGGTCCCGCGAGCACCGCCAGGAGTAATTCCCGAGTGCATGAGCCAGGAGTAACCCTGAGCATCGCTGGGTGTGACCCAAAAAGCAAAAAAAAAAAAAAAAGACTAGATGAATTTTTTTATTGTAGCAAAACTGGTAGTGACAGGGATGGCCATAGAAAAAGGGTTTTGAAATAATGTATTTACAGTATTTTTATTTATTTTGGTTTATGGGTAACAATCAGCAGTGCTCAAGGGTTACTCCTGGCTCTGTGCTCAGGAATTACTCCTGGCGGTGCTTGGTGGGCCATATGGGATTCTGGGGATCAAACCTGGGTCAGCTGTATACAAGGAAAACGCCCTACTTGCTGTATTATCACTATCACTCTGGTCCCTATTCTAGCATTTTTGACATCCAGTGCTTCATAGTAACCTATTCAAGTTCAGAGATAGGACATTTCCAGTGCTGGTTAAAACAGGTAATCGCAGCGCCATAGGACCCAAGCAGCATCGCATCCTTGGGCCAGGCCAGCAATTCCTGGGCCATCCCAGGTGGTGCGAAAGATCTCTAGGGCCACCCTTTGCAGCACTCTGCTTACTGTACCAAGGGATGCCTGGGGGTCCATGCATATGCCTTACTGCTGTACTATCTCTCCCAGCCCCTGGCAAATGTCTTTTTTTTAAATTTTTATTAGTGAAACACCATTACAAGTTACAGTTGTAGACTTACAAATTTTTGTGGCAAATGTCTTTTAAATAAGGAAGGAGTTCCCAGAAGTCTACGGGTTCTCTTCAAATCTCATTAGCCAAAATCACATCCCGTGCCCATGCCTAAATAAATCACTGCCCAGAGAAAGAATTACAATGACAGGTTTAGAGTTTGTATTTATCAAGACCTCCCCTGTGTTGCTTACTGTCAGATTCTTGATCAGCAAAGAATTTTTGGTATGGTCCCAAAACAAAAACCAAAAAAAATCTGTGGCATCAAAATGGGGAAGAACCTTACTCCTGACATTAATGCTTATTAGTTGTGATTTCTTTCTTTTTTTTTTTAAGTAGTTTTTATTGAACGAAGCCCACTTAGAAAGAAAGGAATACATGTTCAAGAAAGAACACAAGCTTCTCCAGAGTAAAAAAAGGAAGCAAAGAAACAAACGAGCGATGTGTTCAGGGGAGAACACTGGCTTGAAGAGTGAACCTGTGCTCTTTTTCTAAGGTGGTTTCTCATTCTGTAAAAACTGAGTAAGCTGCTACCAAAAATACTTAACGGGATAATATGTAATATTGGAAAGAGATGTGGCTCAGTGGTAAAACTTCTGTCTTATATGTGTGAGACCCTAGATTTGATCCCCAAAACCGCAAATAATAATAGGAGTAAACAATGAAATTTTTAGCTTCTTCCCTTTCAGGCATCTGTTCCTAAAATTGAAAGTCAATATCAAGTCTATAATATAAAAGTCCCTAAATGTTTTCATTGGCACACAAAACAAGCATATTCATCTTATCATTCAATGAAGAGTCTGGAGTCTGGAATCACCCTTTTATTGAGTGAATATGCTTGTCTTGGAGACAAGAAGATGCTTGTCTTGGAGCCAAAGAGACAGTACAGGGGTTCAGGAAGTCTGCCTTGCATAGCTGGCCTGGATTCTGTCCCTGCGACCACCTCCGGGAATGACCCCTGAGCACACAGCCAGAATTAAGCCTTGGGCACAGCTGGTGTGATCTCAAAACTAAATAATAATATGAACAAAGAAACATATGCTTGTCTTTAAAAATATATATATATGTATTATTTTTTCCTTTTTTGGGTCACTCCTGGCGATGCACAAGGGCCATTCCTGGCTCTGCACTCAGGGGACCACATGGGAAGCTGGGAATTGAACCTGGATCGGCCGCGTGCAAGGCAAACGCTCTACCCGCTGTGCTATCCCTCCAGCCACTATACATATATATATATTTTTTTCTTTTTTTTGGGTCACACCCGGCGATGCTCAGGGGTTACTCCTGGCGGTGCTCGGGGGACCATATGGGAGGCTGGGAATCGAACCCGGGTCGGCCATGTTGGCTGCATGCAAAGCAAACGCCCTACCCGCTTTGCTATCGCTCCAGCCCCTATATATATATTTTAATTAATTTATTTTTGCTTTGTGGTCACACCGAGTGGGCGCTCAAGGCTTACTCCTGTCTGTGTTTAAGGGTCACTCAGACCAGGGTTGGGGAAATCCTAAGCGGTGCCAGGGATCAAACCCAGCGCCCCATCCACTGTACTACCTCTTTGGTCCTATGCTTGTCTTAGTAACTGCAGCTTAAAGGAAAATAACATTGAAGGTTTTTTAAATTTATAAAATCCATACGAGGTCACTTGTCCTCAACCACTTCAATAATAGTCCCTTGTACTTCATAAGAGATAAGCAAAGAAAGGCTCAGAAAGGAAGATATATGTTGTTGTTGTTGTTGTTGTTGCTGGGCCAGACTGGCAGTGCCCATTCTCCTGACTCTGCATTCAGGAATAACTCCTGCCAGGGTTGTGGGGGACCATATGGGATTCCGGAGAGAGTACCAGGTGGGCCCGTGTAAGGCAAGCGCCCTAGCCGCTGCACTAACGCTCTGGCCCAGATAACGTTTATTGTGGGCTGCTAGACATTTTCCATATGCTTTACTGCACTTGACATTTAAGAGACTTCTCTGAATGACAGCTAGAAAGGAGCAGTCCTGATTATAATACCAGGGATGAGTCAAAAAGCATTGCCTTACGGATCAATGGAACTTATTTCCTTAGAATCGGGGATCTCATAAAACTCAATTCCAGAATCTCAGCTAGCTCTCCCCAGCACCCCCCCCCAAAACACACACACACACACACACACACACCACACACACACAGAGTTGGGCTTTGCCAGTCCATTTCCTTCAGACTACAGAGTTCAAAGCGGTCCACTAGTAAAACAAACCAACCAACCAACCAACCAACCAACCAACCAACCAACCAACCAACCAACCACCTTTCCAACTTCGCCCAGGCTGTTAAAAGCATTCTTCCCCTTCTCCAGCACAACCACTAGAGGGCCAGGTCCTGGAGAACAGCAACTAGAGACGAGGGCTCCGGAGTGATCCCCGCGTTTCAGCCACCGTGTGACCTTGGATAAGTTACGTTACCCCCTCCGCGCCTCCGTTTCCTTCCCTCCGAACCAGGGCGAACACCGGGATGCCCTGCGCGAGGCTGTTCGTATCACAATGCGGAAGCCCCGTGAAGCCACCGGCACGAGGCCGTGCACAGGAGCAGCAGGACCCGGCAAATCTAACAGTTCCGACGGCCGGGGGGGAGGGGAGGGAACACCCCCGACCGACCGACCGACCGATCGGCGGCCCCGCAGCCCCGCGCCTCCGCCGCCCCGCTCCGTGCGCACAGCACTTGCAGCCCGAGCAACAGGTCGTCCCTTCTCTCACCCGGCCGGCCGGGACGCAGCCAAGCCGCGGCCACGAGGTCTGGGTGCCGGTTCCCGTCACGGCGCCGGCTGTCACTCGCGGCAGCCCGGGAAGCCCTCCCTTCCTCCCCGGCTACCGTCCGGGCGTCCGCCCGGCTGCCCCTCCTCCCGCGCCCGCGGCCGGCCGGTCCCCCCCAGCCCCTCAGCCGGGGGCCGGCCCCGCGCCGTCCACCGCGGACCGCGGCCCCGGCGCCCGTCCGCCCGGCCCCCGCCGGGAGCGGGCTCGGCTGCCTCGGCACCGCCCGGGCCTGCGGCGGGAGCCCGGCCCCGGCCCGGTGGGCGCCGGCGCGGCGGGAACGCGTGGGCTGCGGCGCAGGGCCGCCACGTGGGGGCTCCGGGAGAGCCCAGGTATTCCGGGAACGCGCCCCCAAGGACCGCTCCCGGCACCGGCCCCGGGGCCGGCCCCAAACTGGCCTAGGGGGCAACTCCCGGCCTGGCTTCTCCCTCGGCGCCGTGCGGAGGAGCCCCGGCCGGCCGCCGACGCCCGCACACGGGCTCGCGGCAGGCCCCGAGCCCCGACACTGACTCAGTCGCGTCCCCGCCGGCCTGCTTTCCTTACTCACCCATCGCGGCTCCGCTCGCTCCTACTTGGCGGCGGCAGCAGCGGCGGCTTCAGCCGTAGCTTCAGCAGACAATATGGCGGCCCTGCAGGACGGCAGCCCGAGACGGACAAACAAGTTTCAATCCCGGGAGCAACGCATTCTCCGTCTCCGGCTTCGTTTGCGCGGAGGATCCCATTTAAAGAGACAGCGGCGGCTCAGGCTGGGAAAAAGAGATGGAATCCGAAAGGAGTGGGTGGAGAGAAAGTGGGAGGGGCACTTACTAAGAAGAATTCTTAAGTCTTCGTTTTCTTTTTTGCTTTTATTTTCTATTTCCTTCTTATCCTGAGGGCTTCTTGCCCAGAAGCGTATTCCTTCCTTTCTGTTACTAAAGCCGATCTTAGACTTAGGTAGCAACGAATAAGGAATCCTCGGCAGAAAGGAAGTGACTTGCTAAAGTGTACAGAGATGAAGAAAAAAAGCAAAGCAGAAGTAATGAGACCTGAGATAGATGTGTTGCTTTGTAAATGATCTTTGTAGGTAAGCGAGCTTTCACTTTAGCTTCAGTTAAAGTTCTGTATTGGTAATCACCCTATCTCCAGCACCTAGGACAGTGTCTGGCACACGTTATGTATCCTACAAGTCGTACTTAAAAGGATATAAACAGTCTTATGAAAAGGGACATGACCTCCCTTTTGGCTTTTCCCTCCACACCTTGGTTTTTTTGGGACACATCCAGAGGTGAGGATCTGACCTTTGTCTGGTGTGCAAGGCAAGCACCTTAACCCCTTTTTATCTCTGGGACCTTTATTTCCCCTCCCCCTTGGGTTTTGGGGGGGCTACCCTTCTAGATGAAGAAATTGAGGCTCTGAGTATTCAATACCTTTGTGTGTGTGTCAAGACTTGAACTCATGACCTCTTCCACTGAGGTCCTTCCCTGCTCTGTGTGCTTTTTTTAAATTTTTACCTGTGTTTGTTTGAGGCCCACTCCCAGGGCTGCTTCTGGCTCGGTGCTTGGGGGTCATTCAGACAGTGTACAGAGAATATGCAGAGCCTGGGATCAAATCTAGGCTCCTTCATGAAAGCACAATCCAGTCTTCTCAAACGCATTTTAGGGGCGTGGGAAGTGGGAGCACCCACACTCAGTGGTATTCATGGTTACTCCTGGTTTGGTGTTTTGGGGCCTGTATTTAATGCTAGGGATCAAACCAGGGTTGACCTTGATATGCAGAGCAAACAACTTACACCCTGTACTATCCCTCCAACCTTTCCTGTACTCTTTGGGGCAAGGAGGACGGCACACCTGGTGGTGCTCAGGCACTCCTGGTGGGTTTCATTCAGGTGACTGTGTGGTGCAGGGGATTGAACCAGGGGCTTTTGATGAACGCACTCCTGACTTTGAACCATCTCCCTCAATTACAGACTTTATGGTTGGTACATACTTTCCTTTTCTTGCTTCATAAAAACATACTAGTTGTCCTGTCCCCAGTGGAACACACAGAGGTTGGCTATATGATGGCTTTAGGTCTCACTACTTCCAGGTGGGCGTTGTCTATTAAAAGTTGAGTAGATTGCCAACTTGAGGGACCATAGAGATAGCTCAGAGGACAAGGGCACATGTTTTGCATGCAGAAGGCCCAAGGTTGGGGCTGGAGCAATAGCACAGCGGGTAGGGTGTTTGCCTTACACGCGGCCAACCAGGGTTCGATTCCCAGCATCCCATATGGTCCCCTGAGCACCGCTAAGGGTAATTCCTGAGCACAGAGCCAGGAGTAACCCCCTGTGCATTGCCGGTTGTGACCCAAAAAGCAAAAAAAAAAAAAAAAAAAAAGGCCCAAGGTTTGATCCTTGGCATGGTTCCCCAGTGCGACCTCTAAGCAAGAAAGGAAACTTTTTCTCTTCCTGTTGCCTCTGCTCAAGGTCAGATTTCATCTGTGATGGTCTGTTACCTAGCTTCTTAAATTGTGGCTTGTGTAACTGAATGTAGGGGTCATGAAAAGGGTGGCTTCTGAATTCTCAACCATCAAAAATTAATAAAAAAAATCAGCCATGTAATGAATCAATGTTCAATGTTTCTGGCAGTGTTTGCCCACAATGCATTTCTCAGGTGAAAAGGGTTGCAAGTGGGAATATATAATATATATAAGCAGTCCCATTTCTGTGCTCTGCCGTCTCACTGATCTGTCTCCAGGGTTTGCCATTTGTACTCATTATCTCCTTAAAAGCAGAGGCCTCTGCAGCTCTCTTCTGTCTGCCCTTTGGTAAATTCCCCAAATTTATATTTACCAAACAGGCTGGTCCTCCTGGCTCTTTGGGCTATTCCCCCAAACAGGCACTCCATTCTCCATCTGTATCTGAGGAACTCTCTTCCCCATTGACCTAGGGGATTACTTTATTGTTATTTCTTGGTTTGGGACCACACCCCACTCCCTCCCACCCCCTGCAGTGGTGTTCAAGAATTACTCTTGGCTCTGAACTCAAGAATCACTCCTGCCAGGGTTTAGAGGACCATATGGGGTACCAGGGAAGAAACCCGGCAAGGGCCCTACCCACTGTACTATCTTTCTGGCCTTAGGATCTGCTCACTTTGAGGTCAACTAAAACTTACTCCCCAAAAAGCCTATCTTTCTAGGAAGAGTAAAGGGATGAATCTGGGGCCTGAGGGATAGTACAGCCTGTTTGGTGCTTGACTTGCACGAGGCCAACCCAGGTTTCATCCCTGGTACCCCATATGGTTTCCTGAGCACTGCCAGGAGTAATTTCTGAGTGCAGAGCTAAGAGTAACCCCTGAGCACTGCCAGGTGTGCCCGCCCCCCACAAAAAAGAAATTGTTAAATACAGTATTCATCTTCTCTGCAACTCAGTCCCAGAAACATGCTTTCCTCAGCACTTGGCAGCCTATTTTATTCTCATGTGAAGTCTTTCTCCTAGTTGTTTATCTATAGAAGAGACAGTATGATTCTCATTTTTCTTCTCTGTCCCAGCTCCTAATACCATACCTGCCTCAACAGAGACTGAAAACATGTTTCTACCTGTCTGGTAAAAGGAGGAGATAGTACAGACTTAAAGTGCTTACTTTGCATGCAGTTAACCCTGGTTCATTTACCTGCACTACCAAGAGTGGCTTCTGAGCACAGAACCAGGAGTATCCCCTGAGCACTTTTGGTGGCCCAAAGCTCCCCTCTGCCCCCAAATTTGATGGGGATGTAGCTTATGGTACAGCACTTATCTGGCCTGTGTGAGACCACGGGTTTGATCCCTGGTGCCACATTTGTTGTAGGGCCAAGAATGTAGCTCATGAGTGTTAGTTATGTGCCTTACTTACCTATGTGAGGCCCTGGGTTCTATCCCTACCATCTCATTTCACCCCATGGCCCCCAGGATAGCCAGTAAGAGCTCTAGGAAACAGGGCAGCCTATGGGGCTGGAGAATAGTACAGCAGGTAGGGCACTTGCCTGGCACTCAGCAGACCTGGGTTTTTGATCCCCAGCATCCCATGTGGGCCCCAGCACCGAGAACCACTAAACATCACAGGGTGTGGCACAAAAAAAAGAAAAACAGAGGTCAGCCTAGGGCTAGAGTGATGGTACAGTAGGTAGGCCACTTGTCTTGCATGCTGCCAACTTGTTTTGCTCCCTGACAATACACATATGGTCTCCTTAGCCCGCCAGGAGTGATTCCTGAGTGGAGAGCCAGGAATTAGTCAGGAATAAGTCCTGAGCCCCCAAATCAAAACAAATAAAACCGGGCAGCAGGGATAGACTATCTCCTCACTTCCCACTCCTTTAGCCCAATTCCCCTCTAAGCCAGATTAAGCCCTTGCTCCAGGATACGCACACCCTGCCTGGCCCTAGGGCCCTTTCTCAGCTCCACCCCACCCCTGCCCTTATCCTTCACCACCTGAATCAATACTTCCTCTTCCCAAATATACAAGGATTCCAATTCTCTCACAAGAGTTCTTGCCTAGATGAAAAACTTTTCCCCTCTCATTCTCCTAGAAGTGATTAATAAAACCCAGACGCTGCCCCCTCCAAGAGAGCCCTAGACTAATTCTCTCTGCAATAGGACCTGCGCCCACCATAGGGTCCTATGACTTGTTTCTGTGTCTTGGCATCCTCACCCTTTACCACAGCACTTGACACAAAGCAGAGCCCTAGTGACTGCATGCTGAGCTGGAACATCACAGTGTGCTAGGATGGGAGTGTCATCTTTCTGGGGGTTTGTTTTTTTGTGGGGAGGCCCTAGCTCTTCCACTTCCTCGTTGTGCTACCCTTGGGCAAGTCATTTAAACTTCTCTTGAGCTCCGGGTCTTCATCTGCCTTGACAGGGCATGACCTGCCTTGTACGATTGTCACAAATGTTGGGTTAAGAATGTTGACAGTGTGGCATCTGGAACTCATCAAGGATGCCAGCAAGCAACTGCCAGATAGCCCAGTAACCTTGACCTCTGGTTCCTTATCTCCTCTCCTTTGGAGAAGACAGAGGCCCCAACCTACACATGGGATTCCCCAGCGCAGAATCCCACACCTCTATTTCTTGCCTGATAGGTAAGATGTTTAAGAAATACAGGACACTTAAGAAATACAGGGACATGGGCTGGAGAGATAGTATAGCTGGCAGAGTGCCTACCTTGCAGCAGCCAACCCAGGTTCAATCTCTGGCACCCCATGTGATCCCTTGAGTCCTCCAGGAATGATCCCTGAGCACAGAGCCAGGACTAAATCCTGAGGACCATCGGGAGTGGCCCCAACACCACCCCCTCAAATAAATAAATATACATAGGACACACATTTATTGGGAGTATAAAAATAGGACATTTCCCCCCTCACAATCACATCAATTATCAAAGAAAGAAACAGTATGTAACAAAAATACAAAGCTCTGATGGATTTTTTTTCCCTTTTTTTTTTTTTTCCTGCCCTTACCTATCCCTCCCCAACAGCCCCTTCCCAGAGGGTGCCTGGCTGAGGCCTGGCCGCTATCCCTGGGGCTGTGCCAGGGCTCAGGAGAACCGGTGGTCCAGGTCCCTTTGGGGGCTGGTTGAGTACGAGTAGGCTTTGCCCAGTACCAGGCGATCCCGAAGCAGCTTGAAGAAGGCGTAGTAGTTGCTGAAAAGGATGAGTGCCAGCGAGATGGTCTGGTGCCACTTTTCTGAGGACATTAAGGAGTATAGCTGGT